AGAGCATGCTGAGAGTGGTGTGGGGAATTTTTTGGCCAAATTGTTTTTCCGCTCTGACTAACTGACTAGTCACACAATCCTACAATGCATTTCTAAAAGGGACAATCAACTTGGCAATTGTCTTTCAAGAACGTGACTTATTTGCTTCAGTCCATTACGTGTAAGTGAACTTTCTAGGGAAAGTCAAAAGTACTTGTGTCATAAGAATGCAGACCTTAAGGATCCAAACCACCATGGGAAGGCTGTGTCAAAATCTTACCGTTCCTTCTGCTAAAGCAGAAATGACATTTCCTAAAGCCGACAATGACTTGTTGATGTTCTTAGCTTCATCCAGGACAGCACCCTCAGCTCCAGTTTTGCTGACCTAGCAATGAAATAGCCATATATTGGCCTCAGATATACACATAGTTGCAAATTCCCATGATGTTATTCCATAACAGCTATTCACATACTTGATAATTGATATTTACATCCCACCCAAATCAAAGACTGTGTTCATTTACTGTAAGTGCTCGTAACAACAATGTGAGGAAGCATCATTTCTTTACAAACAGGATTTTCAAGAACCACAATGCAGGTTCTCGAAAAGAAAAACAGTGTAATTAGATGGCACATGCCATTGTGCCTGAGCAGACAATGATCCTTAAATAGGTTCCTTTTCTAGGTCAGGGCTTAAGCACAAAGCTAACATCCCTGCCCCATAAAAAACTTGTGGTTCAGTAACCCACAGCCTCATAAATGGCCAGTGTAGGAGATACATCGTAAGATATGAGTTTCATTTTGTCCCTAACCTTTTCAGATCCAGCCAAGTCAACCAAATAAAGTTTGCCACTTAATTTCTTGTTGGTTTCCACATTTTCTTGCTTGATGTGAAGGAGGAAAATGCTGTGACTTCTTGAACTATGCTCATTCATGTCTGGTAAACCAAAAATCAAAAAAGTTGAGGTTCTATTCCTAAACTATCGAGACAACAAAGAAAGACTAAATTATGTGTACCACCCCCCTTGGTTAGTGCACTCATTTCCGGATCGAGCGGTCCTGGCCAGGGAATATTGTGCTGTGTTCTTGGGCAAGACACTTTACTCTCACAGTGCCTCTCTCCACCCAGGTGTATAAATGGCTACCGGTGAACTTAATGCTGGGGGTAACCCTGCAATGGACTAGCATCCCATCCAGGGGGGAGTACAAAATTTAATAATCCTAGTCGCTTCATGCTACAGAAAGCAGGATACGTTCAGGCCTGGTGGGCTAGCAGACTTTACCTTTTTACCAAGCCCTGAATGGATCATTGTCTTGTGTTCTTGTGCAAGACACTTCACTCTCACAGTGAACCAGCCTGACAGGTTACTAAGCTCAAAAAGAGACTTTGTCAAAACCACCCACCTTATTTGATTAATTTGGTCTCTCAACCTCATTAAAAAGGCATTCATTAAATTGTACTTGAATTGAAACAAATAGTCAAACTATGAAACTTGTGTACAAAGTTACATAAAGGAGTGTCAACAAGAGTTTCACCATGCAAGACAAAATCCCCTTGATGGTGAAATCTGTTATTCTCAACACCGGAAAGCTTGGCGACATACAGTATTATTGTTTCTTTAAGGAAAAACTATTGAATGTCTGACTTACTTGTCACTGCTACATGCCGATTGGCTTTTCCTTCATCAATGATTTCCATAACCTCCTCAGGACTGGACACAAACCTTTCACTTGCACCCTACAGAAATCACATTAACCTGAGTGTTTAAAATCCTTCTTTTGGAAAATTTACAGTGTAGTTCATGCTGTAATCCTGAATCATACATGACCAGCAAGCAAAGAAGTGATGTTGATAGCCGGCTGTTGGTGAACTGTACAGTCTGGCCAGTGAATTCTGTCCTTTACTTGCACACCAGGCAAGTGTAGTTTCTTGGGAATTTTTTTTTTTAGGAATTACAGACTGAAGTACCGTAAGAGATGAAATTTTGTGTGGCAAGCAAAATGACTTCCAGGCTAATACATCATATGGTTACTGACAGGGCTGTCATTAAGAGCCGTAACCCGTAACACCCATTACGACTGAGTATGTTTGATTTTTCCTTAATGCTATGGATGAAATTGCTTGTCGGTTATAGAATTCACCCACAAAGTAACAAATTTGCTACAGGTCTGGAGAATAAGGTGTGGAGAATAAGGCTACAGGTGACTAAAAACTTAATGACAGTCCTGTTACACATTCCCTGAAGTGGGATTGTGGCCAGGATGCCTACTTTTTAAAGAAAATTGTTTATTTTTCACATGTTGATTTATAAATTGTTCATTTGAGCAGATCCTGTACATAGCACATTTTTGATGCCCACTTTTTTAATCCTGGCTAAAAGCCTGGCCTGAAGAGCAAGCCCAAAAATTGGTTTTCTTTGCACTCTGATGTCTAGACAGTCAGTTTAATCTTCCTTTCCCTACCTTCACATAAGGCACTCTATTTTTGTCTTCGTGAACAGCTAGGTTTGTTTTTGTAACTGTAAAAAAAAAACAACAGGATTTAAAGTGTAAAAGAAAAGAGTAGCAGAAACCATGAAATAACAATCCGCTGGATTGGGCTTACTGTTACTTAGACCTACAGCTGTAGTACAGTAAAACCAACTGAGTGCCATGTATCTTACCATCTAATAGATCTCTGATCTTGTCAAGGTAAATTTCAAAATAGGAAACCTGAAATCAGAAAAGAGAGAGACTGATATTTAATTTGTCTACCTCTTTTTCAAGCCATACAAGTTAGAATACATTACATGAAACTTAACAATGTACATTTTACTATTGACACTGCACCTTAATGTTAAATAAAATTCCATCTTAGGCAGAGACAAGTTATACATCAACAGATTCTTGTTGCAATTACCAGAGATTTAATGTCATGTTAGTTTGGAGAATTTGATATTACATCACAACGAAGAGATGTAGCCAACGGCTGGCTGCCCACTAGCAAATTTCACAGGCTGAACAACTGATATTATTTTCACATGGATTGAAAACAAAGACTTGGGGTAACTTTGAGGGTGCTAAGGCCAGAAAAGCTGGCCAAGCTTGTTAATAAGACAGTGCTTACAGTAGACAGTGTTTACATTGATTGATTGAGTGATTTCTAATAAAGAAACATTCACCATCTAGGGACTACACACAACTTTCGGGTTTCAGGCTACCTGACAATAGGCAGAATTTCCCAAATCCAAACCATCCACTCTTTTAACCAGCAACAGAACTGGAAATCACATTTATTGCCCAACCAGATTTTGTGATAATGTACATATATCAGACTAACTATATCTTCCATACTTTATAAATCAGTGCGCTAAGATATTCAAACAGAGCCATCAGTATCTAATTTAAACAACACTCGCCTTAATGTGAAACTCCAAATTTTCATCCATATTGTAGATGTAATTGAATATATCTTGTACAATTCGAGGAATAATTCCTTGGTTGACCGGATCATTAAGATGACCCTACAAGAGTGAGAAATAATAATAATAATAACAATCATCACTACAAGGCTGGAAAAATTTAAGTGCCGTCCAGTTGTCCAAGACAAGTAAATTTTCTTGCCAGGCAAGTAACTTAATTCTCACCTGCCCAATGAGCAAGGGCTCAGGCAAGTCATCGACCAAATAAATAAGAAAACAAGTAAGCTAAGACTTGCCTAGGACAAGCAAAATTTGAGAGCTGCTTGTCCGAAGGCCAAGCTGGCATTCATGCTTCTTTTGAGCCCGGCATTATTGATGGCAAGAACACATTTCTACATGCAGGAGAAAAATGTTGTTGTTTCAAGATTCCTCCATATGTTCCAAGAAAAATCTATTACACATGTATGTATACATGTATATTAAAGATAGGAGTCCATCCATTTCACAAGACCATGTTCAATCTTCAATGTAATTTTCATTACCAAATGAACAGGAAACATAAAACAATGTTAAGTGAAAAGCTCATGCGCAGGTCTCTACATTGTATCTCTGTGGCTGGGTAAATTTAATTCACTCATTGCACTCTGTCAGTTGTACATCAATTGTACATTACTTTAGTTCAAATTTATGGAAAAAAATACTTAAAGCCTAGCATAAGATTCCATATCAAAAGCTTACCTCCATTGTGTGGGTCTTCCCACTCGACGTCTGCCCATAAGCAAATATCGTTCCGTTATATCCATTGAGCACATCTATGGAGAGCAGTACAATTATAAGGAAAAAACTAAACTGTACCTGCAGTTTAATCTTTGCTAACAGACACCTGAAGGTAGACACATAATCACTGTCCCTGCCACAAACTAACACTAATATATCAGTGTTCCTGATAACTGAATCACACGCTCTGAATTGTCATTGGAGATTTGCAGTTGTAAACGCGTACGAATCCTTTTTTCAATAATTTCAAGTTTGTAAGTCAAAACATTGTTGTAATGACCTTCTTTTAGTCTTCTCAGGAATTTAGTTATCCATTTCTATCTAAATGTTCCTCCAAAACTTCGGGAAAACAAAAAAATGTCCCCATTTCATACATGACCGACAGCCACTGCACTCTAATGGCTGAGTCGAGTGTACGAGTAGCTCAGCCAACCAGATTGCAGCATTTGCATTAGTATACTGGCAGAACTCTTCTAATA